AGAGAGAGAGAGAGAGAGAGAGAGAGAGAGAGAGAGAGAGAGAGAGAGAGAGAGAGAGAGAGAGAGAGAGGTTAAGATGAAAACACAATTAAGGCAGAACAAAATAACAAAAGAAAAGATGATTTTAGTGAAAGGAATGTGAAAAGAGCAGATTTATCATGGAAACTGAGAACCTCACTAAACAATGTGTTTATTTTGTTAAACACTGTTCAGTTTTTATTCAATTTCCATTTATTTTTACATATTTAGTTGTCTGTTTATCTATTAAACTACTATTAGACATAATAGTACATTTCTGTTTGTTTTTTTTAACTCATATCAAAACACGTTTAAGGTTTAATATGTTCTTTCAGTGCGTTGGAAGGCTCAGATCATTTTATTTGATTACCATTTTTTTTAGGGTTGCACGATATTATCGGCATGGTATTGGCCGATATTAGCGATAAAGTTAAATATCAGACATCGGCCGTTCCATCAAAATAACTCACCGACATGAAAGGTGCTGTTTATATATAAATGTATACTGTATATAAGGTGCTGCTTTTGTATGACACCCCAGTGACTGGGATGCCTGCAACGCCAGAGCAGCGTTATGACGTCATGCATGCCGTTGAGTTTAGATTTGTGAGTAAATGTCATGATGAGTTAATATGACATTTTACATAATCCAAGTTGAAACGTTACATCATTTTCAGCCCCCTTTTTAGCATCTGCATTTGGTAACAGGCCAAAGTGACATAGACCGTGCAGAATAATGTAGTGTTTTAATTCCACAGCAGAGAAAGCTGTGTAGTCTCTGTAAGTAAGTCCAGGGAAAAAATATCGGTATTGGTTATCGGCCAAATAAATTTTAACATATTGGCATATCGGATATCGCCCAAAAATCCAATATCGTGCTTTGCTATTTTTTCTTTCCCATGTCATTTTTAACAACTTTAGAGTTACACCCAGTTTAAAGAGTTACATACATTTGAAATAAATGAGCAAACACAAACGCAGACAAATAAATAGAAAAATGCGTTTTTCATCACATTCAACATAATATGACTACATAAAAAATAATTACTTGAAAAGTATTATATTTACATAAGCAAGAGATTAAATCTTTTTACTAACTCCACAAACAAAAGTATTATGTTTAGAAAAAAAATGGCAAAAACAAAACACTTTTAATCTGTTTTTGTACAATTGTTTGGCCTGAAAAGCTAATTTTATCCTTTTCAGCAGGACTAACATCAGCTCCACTGGGCTGATAACAAACCATACGGGATTCTGCTTTTGGAAATATGTGCTTTTTTTTTTACACAACTAATGACAAACAAATGCGTCCTTTATATGTACTGGACATCTGCTTCTTCATTTATGTTCTTTTAGAAAACTGTTCACGTGCAGAGCAGTGTTTTCAGTACAACGTGTGAAAAACGTTTGCTGTATGTCATTTGTTTAATCTAAATTGTTGAATTTCAGTCAGTATGGACTGTTTGCTTGTTCATACTTATTCAAAAGTGGATCGTTTTCTTGAAAGACACCAGCTTTTCTCCACATGAATCTGTGTCTCTGCAGCTGTATGAGAACTGGTACCGAGGCCAGCCAGACAGCTACTTTCTCTCTGGAGAAGACTGTGTGGTGATGGTGTGGCACGACAGCGGGCGCTGGAGCGACGTACCCTGCAACTACCACCTTGCATACACCTGCAAGAAAGGCACCTGTGAGTTGCATCAATACAAGCATTACAGCTCTATGTGATGAGTTGAGCTCCCTCTTCTGGTTGCATCATCTTCTCTCAACTCTTCCAGCCTCTTGTGGTCCACCACCAAAGGTACGAAACGCTTCCATCTTTGGGAAACCTCGACAAAGGTATGAGACCAAGGCAGTCGTGCGTTATCACTGCGCCGAGGGCTTCCAGCAGAGACTCAACCCTCTGATAAAGTGTCTGTCTGAGGGTCGCTGGCAGAGACCACAGATCCTGTGCATCCCTGGTAAGATTTAACACATAGAAACTGAATTAAAATGACCTTTGATTGTCTGTATTATTCTGGAAGTCAGTGTCAGATATGGTGAAAAGTGGAATTAAAACAAAATAAACTTTTACTGTATTCAGAGGCCGGAAGAACGATGCCGCTCCCAGACGAGTTGTCGCTGACCGACAGCAATTTTGCAGCCGCTGAAAACGAGTTGGAACCCACTAAAGAAGCACTAGAATACTGGGACATCAAGTTTTAAACATCTCCTGTATTTTTCTTGTCTTTTTTTTTTTTTTTTCATTTTTACAATTTGGCAACATGAGAAGGTGTAAAAAAAAAAAAAAATCTTAAACGAGACAAAATTAACCAGGTATAGGCCACAAATAAAATCATCTTCCCAGTGACAATGTGGTCGAATGCACAGATGATCCTATTTAATGTCCATGTGGAGATTTAATACAATGACTTAGTGCAAAGTATGATTTGTTGGACTCCTTTGGATCTGTGTCCTCCTCATTATCAAATGCTCATTTAAATGTTCAACAGCCTTTTAGAAAAATGGTGATTGGTCTCCCAGACACATTTGATTGATCTAAGAGATGTTTTTGGTTTTTCTATTGAATCTATTGACTCCAAAGTGAACCTTCTTGAACAAATGACCAATAAGTGTTTGTATATATGTCGGTTTTCACACCTGCGGTCAATGTCCACAATTTTCGGAGAGGAAACTTTGTTGTCAAGCAGACGCTGTTTTGTTCGTTGGCTTTATGTTGTAATAAAGTTTTGTAGAACAGAGCAAAGAATAAATCTTTTTCCTATTGTCCTCTTTGGCACTCAGTGTGTGTGTGTGTGTGTGTGTGTGTGTGTGTGTGTGTGTGTGTGTG